CAATTTTGCCTGTTTTTGACTTGGTATGCATTCCTTAATGTTAGGAAATCTTCCTTTTTAGTCCTTACTAGAATGTTACTTATTATGCTGCTACAGGGAGAATGAATAATTCATGCAAATTTCTTTCTATTGTATCTATTGGACACTTTTTGTATACCCAGGAAAAGGGGATATGATGAATTGCCTACCTTTGAGGCCAGGGAAAAGCTCAGGAAGTAGGCCCAGTAATTTTGGCAGTCATTTTGTGAGATGGTGCATGGAGGCAACCATCTTAGAGTGCTCATTTCCTAGATGAGGTAGAGCTTAGGAGCAGCCTGGAGGGAAATGTGGAGAACCTTTGTGATTGGCCGGGAGAAAGTGGGCGTAGCTTAGTTAGAGTGCAGGAAAAAAAATGAAAAGGTGCTTTTAAAAATCTGACAGTGAAGTCAGGTTCTGGGTTTTGAAGAAGACAGTTGGGAGAGAGTGTGTTAGGAAAAGAGAAGTTAGAGAAGCCAAAGTGGTTAGTTAGAGAAGATTGGTAGCTATTAGGTAGAATAGCTGGTATAGAGTATAGACAGATCCAAGGGAAAGGACTGTCTGGAGCTTTAGGAATTCTAGCCAGAGGGAAGTCTGCTAGGTTTCTGAGGGAGTGAAGAGTTGTTTTTGAAACTATGTTTTTAAAGTAACCATAAGCTTCATCTCATTTTTGCAACCATTATGCTTAAGTGCCTGTATTTTTAAAATCCACACAAATAAACAACTTTGTTCTTTGTTAATCAACAATGGTATCAAGGTGCCTCTGTGTGAAGTAGTTCCATAGCAGTTAGGGAAACAGAGTTTCCAGAATGGTGGCAGCGACATTTTAAAAGAATCTCGTTGTTATTTACCTCAGTGTTCAGAGCCCTGAGTGCAAATTCAGCACATTCCAGCTTATTTAAAACCTCTTGCCAAACCAAAAGCGGAACATTCCTTTTAAATTTGGTAGTAGCCTGTTTCCACAGTAAATTTCCTCAGAATACAGAGTTTGGTGGCAAAGTCTCTATAGCTTCCAAATATTTAAGTTGTTTTAAAATAATAATCTTTCACAAGGGGAATCAAGACACAAGCATTAATTAAGACTATCTTGTTTATTTAAGCATAGCTTTCAGTGGCACTATTTTACTGATGTACCATGCTTAATGACATCCCCAGGGTCAATTCATGGGAATGTGACTGATACCCATTCCCTGTGGCATCACAGGGAGGCCATCATTACATCTCAGTTTTCAGCTCTGAAATCTGAGGCCCCTTCCACACTGCCATATATCCCAGGATCTGATCCCAGATTATCTGTTTATCCCAGATTATCTGGCAGTGGAGACTCATATAATACAGTTTAAAGCAGACAATCTGGGATCAGACCCTGGAATATAGGGCAGTGTAGGAGGGGCCTAAGATACTCCTTACCTTGCAAGCCTTTGATACCACTATGTAGCCTCCTAATGAATTGCCAGAATATGTCCTGTGAAATTTAAATGGTTAATCTTTATTTTTATAATTGTGGACTGCACTAAGGTGTAGAGCAGCTGACACATAAAATAATTTCATACACAGTGTATGCTATGTCATTACGTAGGTGTTATGCATTGTTTTAAATATTCTGGGTATGCAATTAGTTCTTTATAGGGTTTACAACTCTCCCCAAAAACAAGATAGATTTGCATTGTCGAAGACTTTCATGGCTGGAATCACTAGGTTGTTGTAGGTTTTTCGGGCTCTGTGGCCATGTTCTAGAAGCATTCTCTCCTAACGTTTCACCTGTATCTCTGGCAGGCATCTTCAGAGGTTGTGAGGATGCCTGCTACAGATGCATGTGAAACATCAGTAGAGAATGCTACTAGAACATAGCCATATAGCCCGAAAAACCTACAACAACCCAAGATAGGTTTGGTATTGCCATTAATAATTATTACTATGATGAATGTTCTGTTAAATGTTTTAGCCTTAGTCGCATCCCACTTGGACTGCTGCAACTATCTCTATGCCTTTGAAGATAGTTTGGAAGCTTCAAATGGTCCAGAAATCGGCAGCCAGGTTACTAATTGGAGCACTGTTCAGCAAGCGGACAACTCCCATGTTACGGCAACTCCACTGGCTGCCGGTCTGCATTGAATGTTTGCCTTTATTACGTAGGATCCCACTCCGAGCCCCCCTGGGAGATAGGGCAGGCTACAAATAAAGTATTGTTGTTGTTGTTGTTGATGTTGTTGTTGTTATTATTATTATTATTATTATTATGTCATTTCAAAATATGTACTCCTTAAAGTATTTCAGTGACAGTGGAAGCTGCAACTTTGGTACCATTCTCATGGCCATTCAGAGCTGCTTCATGAACAGCCTGTAAGGAAAGCAAGTGAGACTTACTGGCAATTCTGTACAGAATGTAAGATTTTAATTAGATGGCCTTATCCTGGTCCTTCTAAGCCAAGTACATATTTAATATCTCAGACACATCAATCATTTTGTTTCTTAGTACCAGGGTTTATTTCTGTTATCCTTCCTCATTTTCAGGTTAAACATTCATGGATTTGATTGTTTTTGAATTACTGTACTTGGTGCAACCTGCTTTCTTTATTTTCTAGTCTATTTTAATTCTAATTTAATTCTAATCTACCAACCAACCTGTTCCTTTCCTTTGCCATATTTTGGGGCAATTGTAGTACCAATAGCAACTACCAACCTCTTTCCTTTCCTATCCTATATTAAAATAAAATGTATTATTGGTTCAAAAGTATAGTTCAAAGTGCAGTGCTTGGCTTTTTTATTTTCTATTTTCTGCTGGAAGAAAGGAAAATCCCTTGCCAAGGTGTTGCTGCAGGGCCATATCATAATTAATAAAATATTTTGGGGTCAATTGAGAATTCTAGTCTAGTACCAACCAACCCGTTCCTTTCCTTCGGCAAATTTTGGGGTGAATTTTAATACTGCCAAGTGTCAACTGCAACAAATTTCTTCCTTTGCTTTCATTTCCGATAATACACAAATCTATTATTTATTGGTTCTAAAGCATAGTTCAATCCTGTAAAAGGCTGTGCTTGCTTTATTTTCTGTTTTCTGCTGGGAGGAAGTAAAATCCCTTGCAAGGGTGCTTCTGCAGTGACATATTATAATTAATAAAATATTTTGGGATCAGTTGAGAATTCTCGTCTACTCCCAACCAACCTGGTCCTTTCCTTTGCCATGTTTTGGGGCAATTGTAGTACTACCAAGTACTAACTGCAACTAACTTTAAAATTCCCTTGAAATCAGTAGATGTGAGAATATTTCTGAAGCTTGGGGAAAATGATGTCTTGATTATGTGGTGTCATTGTAGAGAAATTCAAGGGGATTGCTCTTATGTTTTTTAAAAAATATTTGTAAAATCTTCAAGAATTTTCTAAAAATTAGGGGATGAGCAAATTGTTCTGAAACTTGGGGGTCCAAGAGACATAGCCTGGCATTCACCATCCTTCTGTTCTGGTTGTTGCAGCAGCCAGCAGGTGAGACATGACTTTGTCACCTGGATTGACACTAGATGGGGTAACACGCTGATTGGAGAAGGGTGAGGGTGAGGAATTGATTCCTCCTCTTCCCTCGCCTGCACCATCTTGGCCGTCATCCTGGCTGTCACTCTCGGCTACTGGTTCTTGACCTGTAGGGCATGGACCACCAGTGGGTCGAGAGGATGAAAATCTGCTCTGCGAGCCTCCTTCCTTTTTATTTTATTTTATTTCTGCTCCTTTTGTGCCGCCTGCCACTCCTTCCCTGTTGCTGACCATGGCATATGTTCTGTATCAGAAACTAGAGCTGATGTAGTATATCCAATGCAATTTTCTGAATCAGCACCCCAAACCAAATCTAAAGTTGACCAAAAAGAGATTCGTAACCCTTTTGATACTAATGTTGGAGAGTAGTCCCTGGTCAAAGTGGTCCCTGGTCAAGTGGTCCATGGTCAAAAAAGGTTGGGAACCACTGCTCTAGGCAATGCATGACAGACAAAAGCCATGTTTCACCTGCTGGTCACTGCTACAATGAGAATAAGAGAGGAACAGTAAGGGTGGCTGTCCAGTGGCACCAAATTAAATTCAGCATCACCAAATGGTCAGAACTCCTTCCTGCCTCCACAGCACCCAGGCAACTGGTTATCAAAACCATTTTGGGCTGCATTTGGAATCTGATATTCCAGTTCAGTCTCAGGATCAACTTGGGTTTGTGTCTCTGGTGCAACAGTAAACATGCATGCTCCATCTACTACATTACATTTCTTCAAATCTTTAAATAAAGCCATAATAGTATTTCTATTTTTCTTCTTCTCTGTGCTAAGCTGTTATTTGCATGGCTTTGCTTCCAAGTCTTTTCTAGTAGCAAAGCACAAAGAACCTCACTTTAAAATTCTGTTTTATTATGAAAACAGTTACGTTTTTATTATTTTTCTCTTTTACAATATTTGTATCCCACTCAGAAGGTAGAGGCCTAGGGTAGAGACAATAAAACAATTGAGCATGAAAGGGAGAGCAGTTCAATATGAAGAAATTCAGAACTTAATTATGATTACTGGACTTCACAAGTTTGGGTGAATAATCTGAGCTGTAGAGTGCAGCCAGTATAGGCACCAATCAGGTTTGTGAAAGAAGAGCATTTCATAACCAATTATGATAGGCAGATTTTGAGTCCTCGTCTCATTAGAAAATCAAAAACAGCAACAACTAAAATTGTTCTTTGTTACCCACCTCTGTTCATGGCTTGAGGTAGGGTACAATACAATTAAAATACTCACATAAAATACATTACCATAAAATATGCATATTAAAATGTATTGTAGAAAGATTAAAATACAATACTAATAGAATATAGATTTTAAAATCAAAGGAATCACCAGAAGTACCCAAAACAACGTTTTAGTGCTGTTTTGAGTGTTTATCTTTTTTTTTAATAGGAAAGTTAGCGGCTCTAGGGATCTTTAGGAGGCTTGGTGTATGTGAGTGCTACAATATAGTCCTCCAGAATCCTCTTGGAGCCCATGAGCTGCAAATATTTCACTTTTTGGAAACATGCAGTTTGGGCAGAGATTATTGTAAAATAACCTGCACATGATTAGAACAAACATTATGGGTTAACAGTTATGCAAAATCAGATTAGGAATTTTGTACCAGAAAAACAACCAAGCAAAGCAATTTTTCTAACAGTTCCACTTTCACAACATTAATATATCTGATCCATAAGCAAATACAAAGACACACTGAGTGTTTACTTCTTATTAGGATTTTTAAGCCGTCCCATGAATAAGATAGATTTGTTTGTCTCGTGGAGGATCAAAAAGATGAAGGGTCTATCATATTTGATAAGTTCAGAGAGGGAAGTTGGACCCACTTCGATGACAGTGACAGCTGCAGCTTCAGTGCCATTCTCATTGACATTTAAGTAAGCTTTGTGGATTGCCTGCAAGGAAAGGATGAAATAATACAAGAGAGTGGCCCAGATTTTATGATGTAAGTTAGGTGTGCTTCTCTCTCACTGTTTCAACAAATCTGGATTAGTGCATCTAGGATCACAGATTCATTGGGCTGGAAAATACCAGAAGGGCAATGCCAAGTAGGAAAACACAATCCAAGCACTCTCACCAATGGCCACCCATGGCCATCCAACCTCTAAAAAACTCTAAAGAAGGAGAACCTACCACACTGGCAGCATATGGCAGCCTATTCCACTGTCAAACAGCTCTCAACATTGTGAAGTTATTTGTAAAATTTAGGGAGAAATCCCCTTTCCTGAAATTTGCTTTTTGTTCCTGCATTAAATTAAAGGAACTGAAAAGACTTAACAGTGATCCCCATTTTGGTGCTTCACAAGATTCACCCTCCCCCTTCCAACATGAGTGGAAAGACAATTCAACATTTTCAAATGTGTTGGAATGATCAAGGTATTTTTGTTGAGAGACTTTCTAGAGTTTAAAATGGAGATTTGGAAAATCACAAAGTACATTTCCTTTTGTTTTGCTTAAATATTATATTTTTTTTTCTCTTAACCTAACCAAGGAATGTCCCCAAAAGGTGGGAAACCAATATGTCCAATGCCCAAACTAGAGATGTTATATACTGGGCTTTGTCTTCAAAATCCAAAGAAAAGCTTTTATGAGTATGCAGTAACTAAGAGGAAATGGTGTGTGCATGCATGTGCCTTCAAGTCATTGGCCGGTGTATGGCAATCCCATGAATTTCATAAGGTTTTCTTAAGCATAGAACACTCAGGTTTACTAAAAATTATTTCTTAAACAGAAATCTGCTTAGGCTCAGGGACAAGGAAACATATCCATTGATATGGCCACATATATGAAATTGTCCAATTCTATATTTTGGTATATCCATTTGGATGGTATACTCTCTATATTTTTATGTATGAAGCAAAATCACCAGACATTAAAAATAATAATTTTCATTGTATGTTTTGTACCTTCACATAAGTGGACAGAATTCAAAGTGCTGTTAATGATATATAAAACTATAGGTAGTAGGGCTGGGCGGTTTCGTTTCGTTAATTCGTAATTCGTTAATAATTCGTTAATTTTTTCAATTACAAAACGATAACGAACCATTCTGGAGCAATTATTAAAAAAAACGAATTTTCAAAAACGTTTTGTAAATGCTTCGTATTTCTATATTGTATTCGTTTCGTTATTGTTTTGAGGTCGTTTCGTTATTATTTCCGCATGTCTGGGCCAGTTTTATGGTTTAATTAGTGAAAAAAAATTATAATATCACACCAACAGTCAACAACAGAGGGAGAGGGAAGCTTCAGAAGGTTTTGGAGGTTTTTTAGCGTATTTCGCGGTCACGGTCCGCCATTAACGAATCGATTCGTTATTGTTTCGGAAATCGATTCGTTAATTTTTTACCATTTACGAAATTTCGTAAATATCGAACTTTTTAAAAGGAAAATTTTGTAATTATTTTAAATATCGAAACAAAAAAAAACCCAAATACAAATCGATTTTAGAAACAAATTTTTCCGTTGTTACCCAGGCCTAATAGGTAGAGCTATTTGGAGGATTGTATCTCCTGGATTTTCTCCATGTCTGTTATAGTAAGATATATTTTGAGAAATGTACCTTTGAAACCTTCAGATTTGGTGCCCCAGAAATTCCAGACAGGTCTGCGTGGTCTGTGAACACATCCATAATTCCCAATTTTCTTAATGTCTTTTCAACATCATAGCTACCATCAAGCGAAAACCTCGGAAGAGTGAGATGTATTTTTCTGTTGAAGGAAGAATCATAGTGTTGTAAGGAGTCATTCTGAGCCAGGGTGGGCAAATGTTGTATTTTTCTCTTATATTTTAATTATCACCTGCCTTTCTCCTGGCATGGAAGCCAAGGCAGTTTATAACAAATGGACTACAACTCTTATAATCCTTAACCTTTGTACTTTCTGACAAGGCCCTATGGGAGTTTGAATCCACCCATTTCTGGAAGGATTCATTTGCTCATCTTTGTCAATGTTAGGAAGGACAACCATGAGATTGCCCCACCCATTCCCTCCTTCTCCCCTCTCCAAGAGCCTCATCACACAAGAGAAAAAATCCACTTAAAATCTGCTTTCTATCTCCTGAAGAATTCTGGGGTTTGTAGTTTAGAGAGGAGGCTTTAATAGTCTCACAGCTAATAATGGCAAAAGTGCCGAACAACAACCAGGAGGAGGTATCTGGAGTTCCATGGCTGTCACTGCAGCACCAAAAATGACAAACATAAGTGGCATTCCATTCCACAGAGTGCAGAGAAATCAGTGTGTCCCATATAAATGGCAGGACTGGTTCATAACCACCTTGCAGTTCACAGTGAAGTTCCAGAGCATTGCCAAACTTTATGTAATACAGGAAGAACCACACTGACCAGTTTTACCCCATGTTGCAGGCAGGAAAGCCTTTGTGCATCATGTTGATGTATCAGAGCAACTTCTTGCCCATTTCAGAGTAGATAGCCCATGTAAACAGGCCCCATGTCACACAACTCTTTCATTGAAAGAACAGTAAGCCATTGCTTACATGGTCTTCTATCCATATGATTCTGGTTAAGAGCTTGTGTCCTGCTTTGTATATATGGCTTTCCAGTTCCAGTCCGCCGTGTCATACTCTTTGACTGACAGGGACAGTTGCTATTAATACTCTGTTTCTCTTTCCTCCTGCACTTCCCCCTTTGTCTGTCACATATTTCAGTTGCGACAAACAGCATTCAAAGTGCAAAAAGAGATTTCACTCAGTTGGCGGGAAGGAGTAATCTTATCCTTCCCAGTGGGATCAGGCGAAAACAAAGTTAGCCTCTTCTAATTTTCTTATTAATAATTGCTCTCCAAGTGCCCTGTCTATACATTACGCTGGGCCTTTTCAGGTAGCAAACTATCTAAAGAACTTGACGGTAGCCAAATATCACTGTCTATTTTCCAAAGCAAGGTGCAATATGCTCCCGTCTGAATTGCTGCGTGGAAGATTTGCAGGTGGTCCATAATAATAATAATAATAATAATAATAATAATAATAATAATAATAATAATTTATACCCCACTCCATCTCCCCCAGGGGGACTTGGTACAGCTTACATGAGGCCACGCCCATCAGTAAAGTACACAACAATATAACACAAAAACACAATAAAAACAAAAAACAAAATACATAAACGCAAAACCAATATAATAAGCAACACAACAATATAAAACACAAAATATTTCACTCCATATAATGAAAGACTCTGCCTATGTTACAAACAGGAGGTAGAGGGCATCTACCACATTCATGCAGTTTCTATGAACAGGCCTGAGCAGACATAATCAGCCCCCTACTAAGGAATTTACCAGCAAGTTCAATGAAATTTTATGTGAAGTTTCTACTTAGTGATAACCTTCTCCAGGTGACCTTGGCAGTTGCCAACTTTTCTCTGGGGCAGCCAGAATTAGACATTTCCCAATTTTAGACACAGGCTGAAACACGCCAACCCTTCTCGTAGTCTTTTATCTATGTTTGTAGCCAACATGTATTTTAAGTATTTTTTACTGTTTGCAAATTTTATCTGTCGTGTGCTCAGTCAACTGGATGTTCTTAACCTTGTTACCCGTATAACTTGTATGCTACAGTGTAATAAGGGTCTTCGGATCATAATGAAAATGTTGAGTTAAGTTATTAATAATTTTGCTATCATCATCAGTAGTACAGGTTTTACAATTCGGTACAGCATGTTGACTTACTGTGGTCTCAGTGACTTCTCCCATTTTAACAGAACTTTTTTCCCGAGAGCATTTTCCACCAGTTTCAGTTTCCCCGTGTCAGGCAGAATGAATAATGCTGAAGCATCACCTTTGTATGGAAGCTGCACCACCTGGCAGCCCAAATCCTTGTCATAGTAGGCATTAAAAAAGCTGTCTCTATTCATCATAGGAACTTTCACAGTTGTTTGTTCATCTACAAAGAAGTCATCTTCCTGAGTAAGTTGATAATTGAAAGGTTTTTCCCAGTAAGCTTATGAAAAGAAAAACACGAGGATGAAGATTATTTCTGCAATATATGGTTACGCCATTTCACATCAAATCAGAATTCAGCACAACCTCAGAATTTGAATTTGACCACTTGGATCTGTATACATTTCAACTTTGTCACTCAAATTCAAATATTTCCCCGCAAAATGAGGTGTATCTGAAAGAGCTTTTAAACTTTTAGGACTTTGATTTCAGCACAAGTCTACACCAGGGCTTCTTCTACTTTTTCCTTTCTCAACCTCTTTCCACCTGTGAGATTTTTACATCATCCCAGTTATATAAGTGTATAAAATATGTATAAAAATCAAACATTAGCTGAAAATCAGCATATGCAAGGTTTTTCCTTTTTGTGGAGTATAGCTGAAGCATTTGTCTATTTTTTTTTTATTTTAGCTAGTTTGGATAATATTGATTGTGGAATTGCATTTAAAATAACTCTTAGCTCATTATTAGAGTGGACATCCTTTATCTGAAGTTCTGAAATTTTCAAAAATCATCAATATGGCTGGGTAAGATAGAGACACCTTTAATTTTTGATGGTTCAATGTCCAAAAAATTTGTTTTATGTACACAACTATTTTTAAAATTATAAAATCACTTTCAGACTTTGTGTATATGAAACATAAATGAATTTTGTGTTTAGACCTGAGTCACATCTCCAGGATATCTCATTTTGTACAAGTGAATGCAGTTATGGGTACTGTTCCATTATCTGGGCCGAGGCCAAAAAGGGGCACTAAACAGGGAAGGATGGCCTATTTTATGGAGTGGGGTAACTGAAGGAAGAAAACCATTTTTCTGGTGTTTGCTGTTTATTCCCCCTCCCCACTTCCCATTCCATAAATGAGGGTTGTTTCCATGATAGTGACATGGGTGGGGGAAAATAACAGGAAAACAGGGGGAAATGGTTTTACTCTTTCAACCCCCCCCCCCTTTAAAATGGACTATCCTTCTCTATCTAGCACCCCTTTTTGGCCACCTGGATAATTGAACAGTACTCAGTTATGTGAATACAAGTATACTAAAATCCATAAAATGTCTGAAATCCAAAACTCTTCCGATCCCAAGCATTTTGGATAAAGGATACAAACCCATATTTTAAAAACTATCTTGAGCCCCAGTATTGAGAATGCAGAATATAAATAACTCCTCCTCTTCACCTTCCCTGTCTCTAGTTGACATTATTGAAAAGGAAATCCCACATGAAAAGCGTGCACAGTTGAGGATGACATCGCCATAAGCCTTGGGGGTTTATATTGCAGATTTCAAGAAGCTAGCTTAACAGTTATATCTTAAAACCAAGCTTAAAATGAGGACATACAAGGTGATTTTGTAACACAATGTAACAATTATGAATTTTTTCTTACCTTTTAGGAAAACATAGTTTACAATAACTAGAACCACCAATGGATCGAGATTCTTGACTACATCTTTTAATTTTCCATGGGTTTTCTTCTCTATGTAGCTATTGATCTGCTGTTCTGCTTCTTTAAGCTTCTTGAAGTTAGTAGGAAGTATCTCTGCCTGATAAAAATGTTTGGCATCTTTCAAGAACTTCTGCAGAAGTTTGAATTGGTTGTGTGTGAAGAGGGCATTTCCTATGCTCAGTTCAAGTTCAGCCTGAGGACGGTTTAGCGCAAGGAGAAGATGACGAAAACCGTTGTGTATTTCTTGATCACTGATCTCCTTTGGGTTAAAACCAAGCCCTACTAAAAGCTGTCTCAGAGTATTTGCTTTAGCTCCCATTGACAGCAAGGCAAAGGCAATAGATATGCTCACAGGAGAAAAAACAATATTCTTATTGGCAGCCTCTGAAGCAAGCTGGTGATAGAATTTGAAAGCAAAATCTGCATTGCCAGGGGCTATTTTCAGTGAGGGTGAAACCTTGGGTGGTTCATGTTCCATGTCACCACAACTGCTGGCAGCCAGGAGCCCAGCAAAAATCAGCCATGGACTGAAATTAGACATCTTGTTCCCTTGGAAGAAATCTGTAAAGAAGGAAAATATTGCATAATCCCAGGATGTAAGATGTGCATGTGAGACACAATCTTTATCTCTTGCTTGGATCTCTAAGGATGTTTGCTCTGTAGACATTCCCTACAACTTTCATTGACAGGCTAATTTATGAGAAATGATCTGTCATTTTTATAAAAAAATGTAAATAAATTCATATCATGACTTTTCATCAGAAGTGGGAACCAGTGCTGTACCTAACCTCAGAAGAGCTACAGATGAAAGACCTTGTTCAAACAACACCATCTTTTCAGGGCCCCCTAGTGGAGATAAGTTAGAATACAAATAAAGATTATTATTATTTTACTGACACAAAACCACAGTATGTCACAGCAAATGAGATCTATATGCTGGATTTTGTATCACAAAATCACAAGTCAAACACTTCCCAAGCATCTAGGACAATGTGATATATTTTCGAATGATGGACGCAGATCCAAGTAAGGTGTCCTTTTGCAGTTGACAGATCGTGATTTTGTCAATATTTATTGTTTCCAAATGCCAGCTGAGATCTTTAGGCACGGCATCCAGGGTGCCAATGACCACTGGGACCACCTGTACTGGTTTCTGCCAGAGCCTTTGCAGTTCGATTTTGAGGTACTGATAATGGCGAACATTGACCACAGGATGATTTTGTTACTGCTATTGTATTGATTTGATTGTTTTTAACTAGTTATAACTGTTGACGTTATATTGTAATTTGTATGTTGTATTTTGTGAATTGTTGGGCATCAAATTGTGCCTTCTGTAAGCCACCCTGAGTCCCACCTAGGGGGTTGAGAAGGGTGGGGTAGAAGCACCCCAAATAAATAAATAAATAAATAAATAAATAAATAAATAAATAAATTTTCCTGTTGTTTTCCTCAATGTGAATGTCACCTGGTACGGTGACATAATCCAAACTTTTCCTTTTCCACAGTCATAATGTCTGGCGTATTGTGTTCCAAAACTTTGTCAATCTGGATTTGAAAGTCCCACAGTATTTTTGCATGTTCATTTTCCACGACCTTTGCAGATTTATGACCCCACCAATTCTTTACTGCTGGTAGGTGGTACTTGTGACATAAGTTCTAATGAATACATTTGGGGCACAGACTTGTGCCTCTGTTTGTAGTCTGTTTGTGCGATTTTCTTGCAGCAGCTGAGGATATGATCCATGGTGTCATCAGCTTCCTTGCACAGTCCGCATTTTGGGTCATCAGCTGATTTTTCTATTCTGACCTTAATTGCGTTGGGTCTGATGGCTTGTTCCTGGGCTGCAAGAATCAGGCCTTTCTTCAGTACTCCATTCGTGAGCCATAACCAGGTCTTCTCCTTATCAACTTTTCCTTCAGCTTTGTTAAGGAACTGTCCATGCAATACTTTGCTGAGCCAGCAGTCGGCATAGGTTTGTAGTGCAGTTTTCCTGCACTGATTCTTTGTCTGCTGTGTTTTGAGAAGTTTCCAATTATTGACTTCAATTAAAGCAGGTTCTTGGCTTTCCTTTACATATTCTGCCAGGGTGTGTTTTTCTTTTTCGACTGCTTGTTTTATTTGTAAAAGTCCTCTGCCCCCAGACTTTCTAGGCAGAAAGAGCCGGTCAACATCACTGCGAGGATGTAGTGAATTATGAATGGTCATGAGTTTTCTTGCTTTTCTGTCCAAAATGTCCAGTTCTGCCTGTGTCCAGTTTATGATGCCAGCAGTATATCTTATGACAGGTATGGCCCAGGTGTTTATAGCCTTGATGGTATTGCCCCCATTGAGCTTGCTTTTGATAATTTTTCTGACCCTTTGAATGTATTCTTTGCTGACCATAGTTTTCACATGTTCATGTTTGATGTTGTCCAGCTGTAGTATGCCCAGATATTTATAGGCCTCTGCCTGGTGACACTTTATCGCTTGGCCATTGGGCATATTTATGCCCTCACTTTCAATGATTGTTCCCTTCTTCGGTATTATTATTCACTCTCTTTTATTTCATCCAGAAGAACAAACAGTTTCATGAATCTGTTTAGTTGCAATGAAGTAAGCATTTCCTCATTGTGCAGTTTTGAGTCCCTCCGTGATATTAATCTTCAAGAGGCAGATCATCTATGGTGGACTGCCAGTTGAACAGTAACTTCTATTTACCCTACTTTGCATTTATATCCTGTAATTTTGTCAAAAAATGCTCTATATGCCGTTATAACAGTTTGACACTATATTAACTACCATGGCTCAATGCTATAACATTCTGGAATTTGTAGCTTTTTGAGATCGCTAGCCTTGTCAGAGATCTTTGGAGCCCTAGCAAAGATTCCATAGATTGGAGCCGTGGCAATGAAGTGGTGTTAACTGCTATAATTCTGCAGTGGGGAAGATATCATAATATTTACATTTATCTGTAGTTTTTCCTTCAGAGGTACAGTTCTTAACTCTATCTCAGAATAGCCCAATTGAGGCTAAATGCCACCCATATTTTTTAATGATGTTTAGGAGTAAAACATACTCAAGTTCTTTGCCAGCAGCATATAAGAATACATGCAATTCCAAAAAAACATTATACTTTGCTCACCTTGGGTTCATCAGATTCTGCCCAGCAGAATATAATAAAGCGGTCTTCGTAGCTGAGGTAAACAGAGACGACTGTGCCTGCTCCTGCTTCACAATGATGGAATACACAAAGTAATGCTGAGCCACCAATACACAGCACTGCAAACACCTTGAGGAATTGTACCTCTCAGTGAGAAACTGGGCTCTTATAAAAAGAAGTCCTCAGTCCAGTCCTTGGCTGCTTTTAGTAGGGTTTCCAAATGACCAATCATGTTCTGCAACATCCTGCTATACTTTTGCAACAGAGTGCAAAGGGAAGTAATTATTCAAAAGTGCCCTTAACTTATGTTGCTATAGAAATTATTTAGGGGGTGCCCCTGCAACCAGGAACTGATACAATGACTTCATTTTCCCATTCCGATTTTTACAAAATTTCATCATTTCATATCATTTTGTAATACAGATTTCCTCTTCACTCCTGAACCATTTCAGTTTGCTTTGAGGGAAAGCACATCTGGACTGACCATGTAGGTTAGATATGCTCTGGATAAGTTCTGTGACAGCCAAATCCTGCATGAAGCTGATCCAGGCTAATGCATGGCAAGGCTACATTAATGTGGCCTTGTCCTGCATTAACCAAAATCAGCGGATAATCTGGATTCTGTTCCAGAATTTAGACCAGCTCCTGATATTGGGCACAGCTGAATAGTTGGGTCAGTTCCATTTCCAACTACATCTTATATAAATTATAAGAATGATATAAATTAAATTACATCATTTAATTTATTAAAAAATCCTTTGGTGAACAATATACTTGAAACATAAGTTTTTGTTCTGAGTATATTTAAAATTAAAAACTTATCCAAGTGAGTTAACTTCAGGAGGAGAGACACCTTTAATGTTTCTGTATCCCATATATTTTGGAGTATATTATGCTACTTGAAGCCGCAAACCAAACATGCCAGCATGGCATGAAGAATGTTGAAGACACTCTACAATCCCCACAACATAATAACTTTATTGTCAGTGTACATTGTACAATGAAATTAAATGATTTCTCCAGCATGCATCACAATAAAAACACACCCATCCCTTCCCACTCCAACCACCACCTCACAGTCCCCAATCAAACATTCAGCCAAGATTTTATTCTTTATGGAAATATAAACAAGCACATCCATCCCATTGGCATGCAAATTGGCTTTCATCTTTCATTAATGGTGAAATTATATGTATACCAATGAACTGTTTTAAAATAAGTTTCTTTATGATTTATTATCAGCAAATGTTTGCGTTGCTGTTAGCTCTCTGGGCTGTATGGCCATGTTCCAGAAGCATTCTCTCCTGACTTTTCATCCACATCTATGGCAGGCATCCTCAGGGGTTGTGAGGTACTTGCCATAGATGCCTGCCATAGATGTGGGTGAAATGTCAGGAGAGAATGCTTCTGGAACATGGCCATACAGCCCATGTTCCACAGCAACCCAATGATTCCCGCCATGAAAGCCTTTGACAATACAGTAAATGTTTGATTTGTATACCTATTTTATATAACTATATACCTGGGGCTATGAGTGGAAAACGTTTCAGAAGCCCTGTCATAGATGCTGATGTCACTTTCCCATATTCTCTAGGCACACTGCACTTACCCTATAATCCCTACATATCACCTGTCACATCAGCACTTTTAATCCTGTACCCATTACTCTGGCCCGGCCCAGTTTTATAGTGTCTTGATGTATTGTTTATTGCTTGTTGTTTAATATTGCTTTAATTGTTTTTAATTTGCTTTAGGTGTTGTATTGTTGTATTGTGTTTTGAGGCCTTGGCCTATGTAAGCCGCATCGAGTCCTTCGGGAGAGGCTAGCGGGGTACAAATAAAGATAATAATAATAATAATAATAATAATAATAATAATAATAATAATAATAATACAGCCATTTGCTGCATGGCTCTGGCATATTGCATTTTTCTGTCATTTTAATATGAGGAGCTTAAAAGCAAGCAAGCAAACAAACAAACAAAAGAGGCAGCCTTCCTGATTGCAGAATTGAAGATTTTTCTAACCCTCTGGCTGGGACTTCTTCCACATTCACTTTAAAACAACCATGGCTCAAGGACTTTAGATCACATTTTTGACAAATCTACAGATTTTTGAAACCAAATAAAAGTTTATTTGGTCCATTATTTGATGAGAATTAGTACAAGAGACATAAATGTGAAATTGTTCCATAGACTTTAATTATCCCATCAGTACAAGGAAATGACACCAAGTCATATTTTCATATATGTTTTCTATATTTGGGAAGTACTACAATGTCAGTGATATTGAAAGAGCGTGGATCTCATGATTATTTCTCGGTGGGATTGTTGATGGCTGCCATGAATAACATGTTCTCCTCCTGAGAGATAATAGCCAGGAAGGGAGTATTGAATTTGACTGTGGGAGGCATGGATGTCAAAACAAATTCAATGACCGTGACTGCTGCAGCTTCTGTCCCATTCTCATAGACATTCAGATGGGCCTTGTGAATAGCCTGCAAAGGACAAAACCAGAAAAGAATTAGAAAAGCAGACGATATGTTTTCCTGCTCCTGGGAACATCTACATTTGTTACTTAGGTCGGTGTGAAACCAGCAGAGAAAGAAGTCCCTTTACTGTGAGATGATTAGTCTTGACTGTTTTGAGGCTTAGATGGTGCCTAAACCTCAAACTGGTATCAGATATGAAGTATCGGTAGCTTTTTTTAAGCCCATCGACCCCCCCCCCATCTCAGTATTGACTTCATGGACCTCTCATTTTACTCCTGCTCTTAGTTTTGGGTGTATTCCTTCAAAATGTTGGCATTAGGACATATTAGACCATATGTAAGGGCATTTCCAGACAGTACCAAAACCCATTTTCAAATTGAAGACAAAATAATTTGGGACCTGACAGCATGTTCCCACACAGACCTATTAGTCACAGGATTAGGTCCCTCATCATCCTTACAGTCTTCCTCTGTATCATAACAAGATGGAGGGTGTATGTGGGACATCTGGCAGAAGTTTGCTTTTTTTAAAAAAAATTACCCTGGTATGTGCTGGACCATATATGCACACATGCAAATATCTTAATATAAATATAAGCATATTCACATGTATGCATATGCAGTGCATAACGGAAGGATTTTTTAAAATAAAAAACCCCTTTCCATCTGATCTCTCTCTTCCCCCAAATGTTAATTCAATCTCTAAAATTATAAAGTGTAAAATAAGGAATTTCAGAGAGTTCTAATTACTTTCCATTTGTGCTTCCTTTAAACCGGCTGATCAGGTGTTTCAGACTTTTTAAAAGTGGAGGTGCACTGGAGCAGTCTCCACAGGGGAAGGGAAATTACACATTTTGCATGACTGCAGGGATATACAATGATGTGAATATGCACATTTTTTGGCCAGAACTGGGATACAAGCAGATCTTTTAAACGTGTTTTTTTTCCTATTGCTGAGAAACAGAGTGTATTTATTTAGTCACCATCGCCTATTAACTTGGTAACATCCGCATTTTAGGACCTGTGTAGAAGGGCTCTCACAGGAACAATATGGAATTAAGAGTAGATTTGAGACCTCAGAGCAATGCCCCCCCCCCTCAGTTTTTAATTTTGTTGCATGATGTTCTCTGGGAAACATACCTTGGACACCTTCAGCTCTGGCTCCCCGGTAATTCTCGATAAATCTGCATAATTTTCAAACACATCAGTAACACCCAGTCTTTGTAACACTTCTTTAACATTATATTTACTGTCTATAGAAAACCTTGGAAGGAAGAGATCTATTCTCCTGTGGATAGAAGAATCGGAAGTTGGTGAGATTCCATTCCCATTATGTATTTAAGACAGAATGCAGTAGGTATGCTCTAAAAGCTGAAAAGAAACCCCTTGTTTGTTTGGGCTTTTGTGTGAACCATTTGCTTCAGGACTTTCAATCTAATTCATTTACCACATGGAAACATAAATATCATTTCATCAGATACTTTTTGACATCTTCTCTAATTCTTCTATTGATATCATGGGGGTAATAAACTTTTCTTAATTTTCTTCTTGGATAATTTTAGCACCATTCATCCTATTGTGAGAAAGTCCTCAAATATTGCGCAGTTTTCAACGACTATCCACAGTTTGGGTCTTATTCTCTGCTTACAAACCAGAAAATGGCATTTTCTGTACAGAAATGTCTTGAACATTCTGTGCACAATAGAATTTGCTGAAATATGTTTTTCTTTGCAGAAAAGAATGTGCAGAAAAATATTTTCTGTGTAAGACAATCCTAAATGGATTGTGCTTAGAGCTGGAATTGGATTGTGAAGATTGTCATCAGCTGAGGATTCTTCTCACCTGATGAGAAGACTATACACTTGAGAAGTACATGTTCTAACCACTCTTCAAATATTTTCAAATATTCTTTCTAATCCTAACATTATTCTCCATCCTAGTAATCAAGTATTTATATAATATCTTTGGGGTGTGTTAGAGTAAGAAATCGAAACTGGCTGAAGGTGTCAGAGTGAGCATGGATTACATGTTCATTTCTAATGATCCATCCATTACAACACATTTGCTTACTGTTCTCGCATTGATTTCTTCCATTTGTTCAAGACATCCTTCCCCAGAGCATCTTCCACCAATTTCAGTTTCCCTCTGTCAGGCAGAATGAAGAGCGCTGAAACATCACCCTTGTAAGGGAGCTCAACCACCATGCAGGACAAATCCTTGTCATAGTAAGCCTTAAAATATGTGTCTTTATTCATCATGGGGACCTTTACTGTTGTTTGCTCATCCACAAAGAAGTCATCTTCTTGCGTACTCGCAACATTGAAAGGGTTTTTCCAGTAGGCTTACAAAGAAAAGAGTTAGAATACATAAATTAACATTCTCTTGCCAATAAATTATTGCATTTTTTGTCTCCAGAAGTTTTTCCCTAGTGTTTCCAACCTTATAATGGATAGATGATTATTTTAGATAAATAGGCAAACAAATATTCCAGAAAAGGTGTCTGTTAGTGATGCTGAGTTCCAAAGACTGGGAGCAGCCACCCAAAGGTAACTTTGTTTTTGTTAATGAAAATGAAATAGGTAAAAAATAACATTCCATTTTCTAAAGCCACTTCTTATTAGAAGTTGAAGCATATGTTTAATGTGTAACTGAATATAAAATTCGCACTCCGTCAAGAACTGATTTCGAGTATGGTCGCTGTGTTAGACAGATCTATTGTTGCATGCAATGGCACTATCTATATGAGGCCTTTCATTCGAAGTTGGTTTGCAGTAGCAAAATTCTGAACTGTCTCCAGGATGCAAACACTGTTCATTTCTCACACCAGAAATGACTTGCAGCTTCTCAAGTCACTCCTGACATGAAAAAGTCTTCATCCTTCAGAGGCAGCAGGATGGAGTTCATATTGTCTAGTGGGCCCAAACTGGATGGCCCAAACTGGATGACCCAGCTGGATAGTCATATTAGCTTTGTTGTCTTCTGTCATCACTGCTGAATCATCACAGAGCTCCAAAGAGCCCCTGCCTATTGCCATATGGACAGTGAAGCAGTTCAAATCAGAGTCAGTCCACACTAAGTCTGAGGTGTGGGGCTGCTCTGAAGTTTTGTTGAAAATCTGGAGTCTTCCCTAATTTAATGTAACATGAGGGTTTAACGGTTTTACTTGACAATACCAACTGAAAGTTCTTGGATGTGGTCTGAATAAAAAAAAGCAACTTCTAGTTGAAATCAATGTTTCTGAACAGTGTAGATGTTGTGTGCAACAATAGATCTGTATAACACAGTGACCAGTCTGGGCCCTGCACATGCAGAATGGAGGACCATCTTACAGCAACACCAAAGGCCAACTTCTGGTCAAAGGAAATTTAGTGTAATGCCAAGCTTTTAACTTTGTTTGTAATTTTTAGGTAAAAGTATGATAGCTGGGACCCAGTGCTGGTAGTGCTACGCTGGTTGAGTAATGCGGCTCTGAATTAGAGAAGGGAACACGTCCGCAAGACAGCACACCGAGTGAGAGATGCAGCTGTGGCAGGATATCAGTGAAGTAATGTAACGCAGGTGGGACAGGATAACAGTGAGATAATGTAGCAGTTGCTGGATTTCATTCATTTTTCATCACTTCTCATATATCTTCCCTCCTTTTCAGCCTTCCTTCCAATGCAACAATGTTTGTGAATGTGTTTGGATAGGATCTCCAGATAGGCTACATGAGTATGCTTGGCTGTTTCCCCTCCCCCTTTCCAGCGAACTACCTTGTTGACTCTGTCGTAGCTGAGTCTCTCACTGCATGTGGTCTCTCGCGTACGTGGTGCTGTATCTCATGCACATGTTCCCTTCTCTAATTCAGAGCCATGTTATGCAACCAGCATAGCACTACCAGCACTGGGTCCCAGTTATCATACCTTTGCCATTTTTATACATTATAACTGTATTCTCAATTTGTTTCTGACACCATAAATAAATAACAGTGTAGATAAGCTCATTATAAGGTACTTTTCTGGATTCCTTTACATGCTATCTTACCTCATGATGGCTACTACTTTTTGTTCAGTATTGTTTCCCATATTAAAAGATTAATTAAAATAACAGAAAAAGAGTAATAGGGGAAGAGGGAAAGTATCAACAACTTAATAAGGCTAGAAAAATATCTTTCCCCTCCCCTCATCTTAGCAAATGTCTCTATGAGGAAGTCCATAGTATTTCCAACCTTATAAGGGATAGATGATTATCACAGATGAATATGCAAACAAATGTTCCAGAAAAAACAATGTCTGCAAGTGATGCTGAAATAGCTGATATGTACTTGCATGCAAAGGAACATTTGACCTATGTATAATAAAAGCCAAGTGGTACTATTTTTATATTTAAAAAGCTCCATCCATTACAGTACCTTTCAAGAAGATATAGTTTACAAGAACCATCAGAGTTTCTGGTTGAAGACCCCGAATAACATCTTTTATTTGGGTTTTGTTTTCGATGTAGCTGTTGATCAGTACCTCAGCCTCTGTGGCATTACTAAAGTTAGTGGGGAAAATATCGGCCTGATAATAATGTTTGGCATCATCTAAGAACTTCTGGAGGACTTTCATCTTGTCATGTGGGAAAAGGGCATTTCCAATACGCAGATCAGTTTCCAACCGTGGGAGATTTAGCGAGTGGAGAAGATAATGAAAACCCTCATGTATTTCCTGCTCACTGATCTCTGTCTGGTTGAAACCAAGCGCTGAAAAAAGCTGATTCAGAGTGGCACCCTTGGCTCCCATTGACACCAGGGCAAAAGCAGTAGATAGGCTCATTGGAGAAAAAACAACATTTTTGCCAGCATTTTCAGAAACAACTTGATGGAAAAATTTAAAGGCAAAGTCGGCATTGCTAGGCACTATCTTCAGGTAGGACAAATTATTGTGATCTTCCGGTGGAGGCTGGTGGTCATGGCCCTCCTCATGGTGAGTAGGGAGATGGTGACAGTGGGAAAAACAAATGAGCCCAGCAAGAAGCAAACCTAGGTAGAAATTAAGCATCATGCTCCCCTGGAAGTTATCTGTAAATAAAGAACCACATTGTTATTTTTTTTTTGTTAAGGTGACACAATGAAAGATACTCTAATTTTTGTGATTCAAAGCCTTTAGTTTGAACTGATAAGCAGATGTTTGGTGTTTTGTTCACAATGGTCACAGTGAATATTCATTCTCTCTTTTTTCTATGGAAATGTTGTGACTTGAAAAAGGGATGGTGGGTGGAAAATTGTGGCCTTAAAATTTGCCTTATTAAAACAATTGACCAACACTACAGCTACTCCATTCAGACATGCACCCAGTTACTGACCATCTCGCTTGAAAGGCAGAATTAAAGAGCTTTTATGTATACATCATGACAAACATGCATGGCTGTTAAAAATGAGTACTGAAATGTAATTGAAGGTACATGCATGATGCAGTAAAGAAATCATTTTTCCTTAGACACAAATAACCATTTGTTAAAAAGAAAAAAAAACTTGTTTAATTCTGGCAAGCTTTTAGGAGCAAACTACAGGTGCATCTATATTAGATATTATAGAATTAATGCAGTTTGACACCACTTTAACTTTCATGGCTCAAAGTTATGAAATCCTGGGATTTAACAAGATCTATAGCTTTCTTATAGCAGGACTTGATGAATCCAAGTCCAATCCATACTCCAGGAAATAGTGCCCAGCTGCTCGCTGGAGGGAAGGATATTATAGGCAAAGAGGAAGTACTTTGGGCACAAAATGAGAAGACAGGAAAGCTTGGAGAAGATAATGATACTGGGGAAAATGGAAGGAAAAAGGAAGCGGGGCCGACCAAAGGCAAGATGGATGGATGTTATCCTTGAAGTGACTAGCTTAACTTTGAAGGAATTGGGGGTGGTGACAGCTGACAGGGAGCTCTGCCGTGGGCTGGTCCATGAGGTCACAAAGAGTCAGAAATGACTGAATGAATAAAAAACAAAACAAAAAACCCTTGCAAAAGACTGCTGGTGCCTCACCAAACTATAAATCGTAGAATTCCATTGCATTAAGTTACTGTGTTATCAAATTGCATGAATTCTACTATGTAGATGCCCCCAACAATGTTTGTTGTTTTATTGCCTTTTGCCTTTGAGTGGGTAGAATCCTCCTGCAAGAGAGTGACTCCACCCAATCTATCCACCACTATCCATAACTCTGCAAGATTGCATATGAAGGATACTATGCTAGGGGCATTCTATGCCTTTTGGGCAACTTTAATGGCTCAAAGTTGTGTTGATAAAGTGTTCCAATCTAATCAATTGCAGATCATTTTAAGAGGAAAACCTTGATTTACACAAATTGTAAAAGGAAAAAAAATGATACTCACATACAGAAATGCTTTTCCTCAGAATCAAGTGAAACCTAGCCCTTTGTACAGGGTTTTCCTTTATATGGTGGGAGAGTGTTGAGAAATGTATGCTCACTAGTAAACATTAAAGAAAACTAACTGATGCAACAAAAGTTTAAATTCCAAAAGACCTGTTTGGCAAATTTTCCTGCAGGCTTAGCCCTCTGACTCACAAAGCACTTGCTATGTTGTTGTTGTTCATTCGTTCAGTCGTCTCCGACTCTTCGTGACCTCATGGACCAGCCCACGCCAGAGCTCCCTGTCGGCCGTTACCACCCCCAGCTCCCTCAAGGTCAGTCCAGTCACTTCAAGGATGCCATCCATCCATCTTGCCCTTGGTCGGCCCCTCTTCCTTTTGCCTTCCACTTTCCCCAGCATAATTGTCTTCTCTAGGCTTTCCTGTCTCCTCGTGATGTGGCCAAAGTACTTCAACTTTGTCTCTAGTATCTTTCCCTCCAGTGAGCAGTCGGGCTTTATTTCCTGGAGGATGGACTGGTTGGATCTTCTCGCAGTCCAAGGCACTCTCAGAACTTTCCTCCAACACCACAGCTCAAAAGCATCGATCTTCCTTCGCTCAGCCTTCCCTAAGGTCCAGCTCTCACATCCGTAGGTGACTGCAGGGAATACCATGGCTTTGACTAGGCGGATCTTTGTTGCCAGTCTGATGTCTCTACTCTTCACTATTTGATCGAGACTGGACATTGCTCTCCTCCCAAGAAGTAAGCGTCTTCTGATTTCCTGGCCACAGTCTGCATCTGCATAATCTTTGCCCCTAGAAATACAAAGTCTGTCACGGCCTCCACGGTTTCTCCTTCTATTTTCCAGTTGTCAATCATTCTTGTTGCCATAATCTTGGTTTTTTTGACGTTTAGCTGCAATCCGGCTTTTGCGCTTTCTTCTTTCACCTTGATTAGAAGGCTCCTCAGCTCCTCCTCGCTTTCGGCCATCAGAGTGGTGTCATCTGCATATCTGAGGTTGTTAATGTTTCTTCCAGCAATTTTCACCCCAGCCTTTGCATTCATCAAGCCCCGCACATCGCATGATGTGTTCTGCATACAAGTTAAAAAGGTTGGGTGAGAGTATGCAGCCTTGCCGTACCTTTCCCAATCTTGAACCAGTCTGTTGTTCCGTGGTCAGTTCTGACTGTTGCTATTTGGTCCTTGTACAGATTCCTCAGGAGAGAGACAAGGTGGCTTGGTATGCCCATCCCACCAAGAACTTGCCACAATTTATTATGATCCACACAGTCAAAGGCTTTAGAATAGTCAATGAAGCAGAAATAGATGTTTTTCTGAAACTCCCTGCCTTTCTCCATTATCCAGCGGATATTGGCAATCTGGTCTCTCGTTCCTCTGCCTTTTCTAAACCCAGCTTGTACATCTGGCAACTCTCGCTCCATGTATTGCTGGAGTCTACCTTGCAGGATCTTGAGCATTACCTTACTGGCATGAGAAATAAGGGCCACTGTATGAAAGTTTGAGCATTCTTTAGCATTTCCCTTTTTTGGTATGGGGATATAAGTTGATTTTTTCCAGTCTGATGGCCATTCTTGTGTTTTCCATATTTGCTGGCATATGGCATGCATCACCTTGACAGCATCATCTTTTAAGATTTTAAACAGTTCAGCTGGGATCCCGTCGTCTCCTGCTGCCTTGTTGTTAGCAATGCTTTTTAAGGCCCATTCAACCTCACTCCTCAGGATGTCTGGTTCTAATTCATTCACCACACCGTCAAAACTATCCTCAATATTATTATCCTTCCTATACAGATCTTTTGTATAGTCTCGCCACCTTCTCTTGATCTCTTCAGCTTCTGTTAGGTCCCTGCCATCTTTGTTTCTTATCATACCAATTTTTGCCTGAACTTTACCTCCAATGTTTCTAATTTTCTGGAAGAGGTCTCTTGTCCTTTCTATTCTGTTGTCTTCTTCCACTTCCATGCATTGCTTATTTAAAAATAGTTCCTTATCTCTTCTGGCTAACCTCTGGAATTGCGCATTTAACTGGGCATATCTCCCCTTATCCCTGTTTCCTTTTGGTTTCCTCCTTTCTTGGGCTACTTCCAGTGTCTCAGCAGACAACCATTTTGCCTTCTTGGTTTTCTTTTTCTTTGGGATACTTTGTTGCCGCCTCCTGAACAATGTCTCGGACTTCTGTCCATAGTTCTTCTGGGACTCTGTTTACTAAATCTAGTCCTTCAAATCTGTTCTTCACTTCCACTGTATATTCGCTAGGAATGTTAGTGAGATCATATCTAACTGGTCTGTGTATTTTCCCTGATCTCTTTAGTTTTATTCTAAATTGGGCAATAAGAAGTTCGTGATCTGAGCTACAGTCAGCCCCAGGTCTTGTTTTCACCGACTGGATGGATGTCCGCCACCTTTGGCTGCAAAGGATGTAGTCAATCTGATTTCGGTGTTGACCATCTGGGGAGGTCCATGTATAAAGCCGTCTTTTAGGTTGTTGGAAGAGAGTATTCGTTATACACAGCGAGTTTTCCTGGCAAAATTCTATCAGCCTGCGTCCCGCTTCATTTTGTTCTGCCAGACCATGCTTGCCTGTGATCCCTGTTGTCATTTGACTTCCCACCTTGGCATTCCAGTCTCCTGTAATGAAAATAATGTCTCTTTTTGGTGTATTATCCAGTAGGTCCTGCAGATCCTCATAGAACTGCTCTACTTCTGCTTCTTCAGCAGCTGTGGTTGGGGCGTATATTTGGATCACTGTAATGTTGAAAGGCTTTCCTTGCACTCGAATTGAGATCATTCTGTCATTTTTTGGGTTGTATCCAAGCACTGCTTTAGCGAATTTCTTATTAATTATGAAGGCTACTCCATTTCTTCGATGTTCCTCTTGTCCGCAGTAGTAGATCTGGTGGTCATCTGATGTGAAATGGCCCATTCCAGTCCATTTCAGTTCGCTGACCCCCAGAATGTCTATCTTTAGTCTTGACATCTCACCAATAACAACATCCAATTTGCCCTGGCTCATAGATCTTACATTCCTGGCTCATAGATCTTACAATCTTACATTCCACTTGCTATATATTTGCAATAAACAGGAGGCTCAGTTTTCTGCATGATTGCTGTCAAGTATCATAATTGTATAGTCATATCTGAAAAACTGGGAATTAGGAATGCATCAAGCCCATTATGAAACTATAAATGGCAGAATGAGAATAGCTACAAATGCCTTGCCTGTCTTTTATGTTAACAATAGTAGCAAATAAATGTTAATTTGCAGTCAATATTGTGATTCTTATTTTGTAGGGAGGGGGCATGGGTGGTCCAGGTGGTCTGCTAAAAAGCTGCATATTTTTCTTTGATTTGTCTCATTTCTTTTAATTGCATATAAGCACACAGCCATTAGTATATACTGAGGAAGTGGACTCCATAAATCCATGTGTTGGTGGCAAAACCAGTGTGTTTCTGTCTTGTTCCAAGTTCAAGGGTGACCAAACTCTGCCTGGTGAAAGACTGCATCACATCATAACTGGAGTTGGAAAGAAAAAACTCCAACTTTATTGATTATAACTACATCACAGAGTCATAGAATCAGAGAGTTGGAAGAGACTACAAGAACTTTCTGCCGTGCAGTACAATCAATGTGCTCCCAACAAATGGCCATCCAGTCTCTGTTTAGAAACCTCCAAAGAAGGAGTCACCACCACATGGAAGGCATTGAGTTTCACTGTTGAACAGCTCTGTTGGTCAGGAGATTCTCCCTAATGTTCAGATGGAATCTCCTTTCTTATAATTTGAACCTATTGTTCCCCAAGAGAATCCCCTTCCTTACATAAACAGTGTCCACTTGACATCCTGATTATGGATCTCTGCCAACTTTCCCCTGTTGCAGAACTGAGTGCATAAACAATCATTTTCAGTTCATGTAGACATCATTGCCTCAATGACAGTTTAAAAGTGTGGGTTTTTGCTGAAGGGCAACTACTGAGTTGAAGGTCAAATGCCCCCAACTAGAATGGAAACCATAGACCAATAGGACAAGAGCCTGCTACCAATGACTTTAAATTAAGATATTGAAACTAATTGGATGGCAGTTCCACCTCAACTCCAGGGCCAAGCTGGGGTGGGAGGTGGGGGGGGGGGAGGTTAACCCCCTCCTGGGATATTGCCATTTGGCTGCCAAACAAGGATGCCATTTGGGTTACTGTTTCCAACCCCATCTTTTCCTATAGTCCCTGGCCACAGGTTGAAATCTCGTCTAACTCTTGCATTAAAATCACACAAAAGGATTATTTTGTTCCTCTTAGCTGACTGTTAAAAAATTCCTTGATGTCTTCATTAACATCTAGTGTAGGTGCATACTGGCACTTATTATAGTTGCTTGCTGGATTTTGGCAAAATTAATTTGAAGAGTTGAGAGTTGTTGGTTAATGCCAATGGGTGCTTCAGACAGATGCTTTACCAGATTGTTTCTGATAGCAAAACTGACTATGCATATTCTTCATTCTTGTTCAAGCAAAGAAAGTGTAGCCTCCTTTTTCTTCCTTCAGCTGTCCCTTTTTTTACTGCTCTCTGGGTCTCTTGGAGCACTGCTATATTGATTTTAAACACAGCTTCCTGTGTTGATGCTGTTCATTGTCTGTGTTATCCAACAGTGTCCATATGTTCCATGTTCCAAAGTTCATTTATCTTTTTTGACCACAAGGTGGTGACCCCTCTGGGCACAGCCATCCAGTCAGGGATAGGAAAGGCAGACTATGTTTAGGGCACCTTTTCTAGTCCCCTCCCCATATGGGGTGAGCAAAGTGGATCCTAAATTGGGCTGCTCATTCATGGATACAGCTGCTGAACTACTCAACTGCCTTGGACCTTGAAATAGAATGACTGAATCCATATGCACTACCTATGTGCCAGTCTGTAAACAATAGCACAATGATGATACTGTTATACAATGCAATTAATTGCTGATCACGTGGGACTTTTGTGTTTTTTTCCTTTTTCTTGGAAGACACCTGTGCATAATTTTGTTTTATGTGTGGAGACTGGTGCACAACCAATCAACACACAGTCTTCACAGAATGAAGCGCATATCCAGGGGCATGGTTAACCTG